AACCTAGATTGCCTTGAAGAGACTGTTGGTAGAATTATGGACATCAAACACAATTCTGGTGAGAACTCAGAAGGAAGTGAGGAGAGCTATAACACTGGAAACAGCACAGACAGAGAGAAGCAGCAGCAAAAAAAAACTGCAGCAGCAGAACCAGGAGACCAGCATAAGACGGCACAGGAGCTGACCCACAGAGAGAGAGAGACCTGAGACCCTTTGTGCCGGAGGCTTCCTGGTGGAGTGGGTGCCTCCAGGTACTTATTGGTGGAGCTAGGCTTGCCAACTGATGGAGCGAGAGAGCTGAGTGTCTTCCAGCTGAGGTTTACTGGTGGAGTGGAGTGCCTCCAGGCATTTACGAGTAGCGCTAAAGAGCTTTAGAACACTTGCAGGGCAGACACCGGGCCAGCCCAGGGGCCCAAGCAGCCAAGACACCAAGGAACCTGGAAGCAGAAGCTGAAAAGACAAGAAACACAGGAAGCAGAGCTGCCTCAGTCTCAAAGAGCGGAGTCATGGTCTCTGGGGTTTCAAAGGGTGGAGCCATAGGATCCTAGGTTTCAAAGAGTCAGATCTTTACCAACTCCTATCAGACATGTGGGGCTGCAGTTCACAAGTAAAAGCGGGATGGAGCCAGGGCTGCCATGCCCAAGGGGCAGAAGAATGCAGCCTGCCCAGGCCAAGGGGGTAGGGTTGTCACTCAGATTGACTAGGAGAATGGGGCTGCTCAAATGTGAGGGAGCAGAGTTGCCATTCCGATGTGCCTGGAAGATGGAGCTGAAGCCCAGGGCACAGGAGCCACCACCCAGAATCCAGAGTGTGGCTAACACCAGAATCTGGAGGGCAGGGTCATTGCCTAAATGGTCTCAGAGAACATAGGATTATTTTCCAGCCTTGAAAGCTAATGTGTTCTGCTGACTAGCTTGGTGCCTGTTATCCCTTCTTTGCCTCCAATTTCTCCCATTTGTAATGGAAATGCCTATCTTTTCCCTGTTTCACCATTGTACGTTGGAAGCAGATAACTTGTATTCTAGATTTCACAGATGGAGAATTTTGCCCCAGGAGATTTTGGACTTGGAGTTGATTTAAGACTTTTGCTACGATATGATGTGGTGAATGTGTTTTACATGTGGCAAGGACATGAATTTTGGGGGGCCAAAGTGTGGAATGTTATTGATTGAATTTTTTTCCCCCCAAAATGTGTGTCAACTTGGCTAGGCTATGATTCCCAGTATTGTGTGGTTGTCCACCATTTTGTGAGCTGAAGTGATTATCCTATGTGTTGTAAATCTTACTTCTATGATGTTAATGAGGCAGGATTAGAGGCAGTTATGTTAATGAAACAGGACTCAATCTACAGGATTAGGCTGTATCATGAATCAATCTCTTTTGAGATAGAATCTAGCAAAGAGGAGAGGGACCACTCACCACTAAGAACGAAGTGCCAGGAGTGGAGCGTGTACTTTGGACCCAGGGTCCCTGCACTAAGAAGCTCTTAGACCAGGGTAGATTGATAACAAGGCTCTTCCCCCAGAACCGATGGAAATAGAGAAAATATTATCCAGGAACTGGTGCCCTGAATTCAGACTTCTAGCTTCCTGAACTGTGAGGAAATAAATTTCTCTTTGTTAAAGCCATGCACTTGTGGTACTTCTGTTATAGTAGCACTAGGTAATTAACACATCCCCCCCAAACAGCATAATATATATTGATGATGATAATTTGATATTGACCCTTTCTCTAAAATATTCCCCAGTGGTGCAGCTAAGATGTTATTGAAGATCTCTGTTTACATGGCAACATTAAGCTCAATTTCACAACATGATCACCTTGGAATCATTTAATCTTTAAATACATCAAAGGCAAGTAACCAGGTTAAAATTGTTTTATTGCATCTAATATATGCAAGTATTACTTTCTGCATCCCATTTTTGCTTATTTTAACCTGCCAAATTTCTTTAAAAGCAAAGTAACTTGTTTTAATATAAAAATCAAAGCTTGTTAAAAACATTGCAAAGCAAACCCCACTGCAATTTAGACAGTTAACTGCTTCCTTACAAAAATAAGAAAAAAAAAATCTGTGCATTCACAATTCAAGATCATTCACCGGAAAAAATGAAAGCTTTAGAAAGATATTTACTTGCACACTAAAACAGCATGATGTTCACCTTACGCATATAAGAAGAATACTACATATAAAAAAGATTACATTAAAAAATAAACCAAAAAATCCACTGCAGTCAAGTCGATTCCGACTCATAGCGACCCTACAGGACACAGTAGAAATGCCCCATAGGGTTTCCAAGGAGCAGCTGGTGGATTTGAACTGCCGAACTTTTGGTTAGCAGCCATAGCTCTTAACCACTGCATCAAGAAGACTTTGAAAGGAAAATTAGGCTTAAAAAACTATGTATCTAAAAACTTATATTGCCTGGGCAAATTAGGAAAAGGAAAATGTAGAATCAAGTAAGAATTTTGGATACACATTTAATTGAAAACCAAAAAACCTGTTGTCATCTAGTTGATTCAGACTCATAGCGACCTTATAGGACAGAGTAGAACTAACCCATAGGGTTTCCAAGGAGTGGCTGATGGATTCCAACTGCCAGCATTTTGGTTAGCAGCCGAGCTCTTAAAAGATCTTCTGTTACAATGCCCAGAGGGCTACAGAAGGAATAAAGTATTCCTCATCAATGTCTTGTTTGTTCTGCACAACCAGTTCAGACCCATCCTGTAAATGCCTTCAGAACCACGCCGTCAGCTCTCTACCTCTCGATTCCACAGTCCAAATAAGGTGAGGCATGAAGAAAAGGTTGGCTGATAATTCACCAAAATTAAAAGGCAGTTGCCACCGGCCCGAGAAAAGAAGGAAAAGGCAGGGCAGGACCTAGGAAAAATTATGAAGCAGAAAATGTTGCTTTTGCTACCTACCACTCAGGTCCTTTTGCTAGCTTCTCTCTTACACCCTTGAAGGCCAGGTTTTCGTGTTTCTCTCTGACTGTCCAAATATCCCCATTTGGGCTTACCCTCTCCAAAGTGCCCTGTGTTCCAAAATTACCTCTCCATGTTTTCTTTCACACAATTGAAATTCCTAGTTCTTCTATTATTTTAAAATCCTCTTAAGAAAGCAATCTGATAAAAATTAATTCATACAGAAGACTGATTGACAACTTGGGCCTGGAGTATATGCAATCTAAGTAAATCTCTGCTGGAGATGTTATGGATAACGCTGAGGCCCAATAGGGGTGCTGGCTTTCCTTGAATCACACCAACGCCACTTTAAAACAGGGGATTGAGTCAGGAAATGAAATATTTGTAGTCCCCAGGCTCTGATTAGAACACAGTGCAAGTGGTTATGGGTTCGCGGGCTTGGGGATTAGGATAGCCATTCCTCCCTCAATCCCTTCGGTAAGACTTGCCCTCTAGCTCCCTTTAGCCTCTAAAATCTGACTGAGAGGACACAATTGTTTGGCGCTGATTAAAAATAAGGTTGGTAGATAAGAGAAAGAAAGAAAATGGTGATAGAGGGTTTATTTTCACCAGAGATAGATTAAAAAACGTTTTCAGTATTAGCTCCGAAGAAAAATACCTCATCCCTGGAAGCTTGTCAAAAAAAACAGGGAGTGCTACCTGTGACGAGCCCCAGCCTGCTCCTAGTTTGCGGATGCAGAAATCTTTACGTAGACTGCAAAGCAAATTTACTGCTCCAACTGGTTCCCTCTTTGCTTCTCACTGAAATCAAGAAAGTTTCACTAAAAAAAAACATCGCTATCAAGTAGATTCCTACTTATAGCGACCCTACAGGACACAGTAGAACTGCCCCATAGGGTTTCCAAGGCCGTAAATGTTTACGGAAGCAGATTGCCACATCTTTCTCCCATGGAGCAGCTGGTGGGTTTGAACGGCGGACCTTTCAGTTAGCAGCCGAGCTCTTCTTAACCACTGCACTACCAGAGCTCCTGAAGTTTCACTTAGCTACATACCATTTTAAACAAACTGCATAAACATAAAGCAAGTATTTCCTGGTATGTTGTTATCATGAAGCAATTAGGAATAAGAGGCTCTCTCTCTTTTAAACTCGGGATTGCTTTTTGGTAGGACAAACCAGATCCCAGCCTCATTTTAGATTCTCTTTTATTTCTCTTCTGTTTTCATTTCATTTTAAATATCACATTGATGGTTTTGATAGTCATTTTCAAATTCCAAAATTTCCTTCAAATAGAGATGTCTAATATTTCTCGTCTATTTTTGAACTATCATTAGAAGTTAGTATATAATAATGTCCTATCACATTTATTAAAAAATTAGGTATTCATTATTTTAACTGTAAATATTCATTTTTGGGGGTATTCTGCAAGGTCTTTCAGGGACTATATCACATGAACAAATTTGAGAAGACTAAATTTAAGGAACATTTTGGAAATTAAATTGTACCTGAGTGTTAGGGTTCTCTGTATTCTTTTGATTCTTCACAGAATTTTGTACTATTTACCTGCTTTGATAAGGTCCAGTATAATTTATTTAAAAATGGTGGCGAATGCAAATTCATGTTCATCCCGTGTTGCTACTCCTAACTATGACTGGAGTCTTTTTCTGCAGACTATGTGGTCATAACCCCAGTTCATCTAAGGAGAGCACATTCTAACTGCAGCCAACTACTACTGAGGGAAAATAAAGAGCCTTCCGTGCTGAGCTTGCAAATGAAAATACGAAATTATAACTCAAGAGAAGAAAAACATTTTTTCCTCAAAATAATTCTCATTACTGGCAAGTTATCAATAGTAGTTCTGAATCTCAGAAAAATGTTAAGACTTGTGGTTCCAACCTCCATATACCTTTAGCATTTTTTTTTCTTACAATACTGCCAATAACTATGTATATGGTGAATATAGCCGATTCTTGAGAATAAGGAAACTGAGATATATTCCTCATGGTAATCCTTTTGTAAACCATTAAATGCACATTCAAAAGCATAAAAACAATACTTTTTTTTTTTTTGATCTACACTTATCTGCTGTAGTTTGAATTTGTGGTTGTGTATTTTTGAGAATTGACTAGAGTAACCAAATAGGTACAAGACTGTTCTCCCTGATCTTGTTGCCATCCAGAAAGAATCTTAGTCAAGAGCCACTGACTAGGTGCTACTGATTTTTCAAAGCTAAAATATCCAACATAATTTACCACAGTGTTTGATATACTGTGATTCCACTTACATGTAAATCTGGAACAAGACTAGAATTTCTAAGCCAGGTATCAATTTTATAATATTCAACCAAGCAGAGCTTAACTAATGTTGGACTAGTATTCACCCAACATATTTGTTAGGAAAATATCTGTGAAGAAGAGCAGGTTCTTCATAGACCTTAATTCAAATGGTACAAATGATGAGATTTGCTCGTTGTCTATTTTCTCAGCAGTAAGGAAAGCAAAATCTGTTTTAACATTTTGTGCATCTTGGAAAAGATAAGCAACAAATTGCTTTCAATACACAAATTGGTAAATAGCATCATTCAAAATTCAGAAAAATTAATTATATGTAATGAATACATGTGCGTGTGTGTGTAGTGGGATGTGTGTGTGTGTATGTGTGTAAATTTTAATTTTAAAACATTCCCCTTTTGGAAGCCTCCAAAATGTCTGACAAATACATGTATAATTGTAGCACAGTGACATTATCTCTTCATGCAGGCTTCTGCTAGTGCAGTAAATTTGGGTTCCAAATTACTTAAAAAGTCAAGTCCATCTTCTTCCTGTTTTCCACTGCAGCAACCTACAGACTCAGCTGGAGATCCTCTTCCTTCATAGTTATATGTAAGGACATAATCTTGAGATTGCATACGGTCTTCATTCTGATTACATAGATGCAATTTCTGTAAAACAGAAAACAAAAATGGATTGTATTACTGTTTTAAACACACATAAACGTATGAACATAAAATTTATTTTTTTATTTACCTTTTATGTTTAATTTTTAATCAGTGTGTCCTCTAATGGATTCCTACATACAAAAAATGCACACGATTGGTCTATATCACAACCATACCATAAAGTCAGTACATTTTACATTCCTAGTAACTTATACAAATAAAAATTACACATAGAAGGTTTATTTTTAAGTACGTTTAAGTTACCACTAAACGTTTATCCCTAAATTGTGTATCTAGAGATCAGGCTAGTCCACAAAATGTAGACAATATGCATCATGATTAGGAATTTGAACTTGGATGTCAAACAGTCATGGTTTTGGGTCATAGCACTGGCTTTACCAACTAACTATGTAACTTTGGGCAGGTTACCCAACATCTTTAAGTCTTGCTTTCCTCACCTCTAAAATGGGAATACAGTGATCACCTTATAGGATTGTTTTGGAAATTAAATGATAAAATAATGACACATGAAAAATATCTTTATTATGCCCAGCACACTGTAAATGTACAATGAACCAATATCACTATTACCTTTTTTACTGGTACTATGTAAAAGTGATGCAGTTATAAAGGGAATAAGAATTACCACATTGGCTTCAGAATTAAGTCTCCAAGACAGGCAAAACATGAGAAAATGTGGAGATGCAGAAAAGAAAAAAACACCATAAATCACATTGTAAAAATTAGGATTTATAATGGAGAGGCCAAGCATTCAGCCACATCTTATCTCCTTGCTGTCTACTATTGGCTTCTCCGCCAACTGGTTGAACTCTTAGTCCTCCACCCTTTTCTCACCTTTGTGCTCACTCCTTCTCTACACTGGAGCTTATTTGCTTGGCTCACACTATCAAGTGTCTTTCTTCAAGATTTCTTAGAGCCTCACATCTCATTACTTGATGTGCATCAAGAACACTCATGTGAATGTTTCTTGAACTTCTCTCCTTCCCAACCTGATATACGTGAATCACAACTGTCTAAAAACAGGAAAAGGGTTAACATCTGAATTTGACAAAAATCTATGCTAGGGACATATGATAAGCTACACCCATATCACAGAATAGTGACCATTTGGAGTCCTGGTGGCTCAGTGGTTAAGAGCTTGGCTGCTAACCAAAAGGTCAGCAGTTCAAATCCACCATCCACCCTATGGGGTAGTTCCTCTGTCATACAGAGTGGCTATGAGTCAGAATCGACTCAACAGCAAGGGGTTTGGTTTTGGTTACAGTCCATCAGTCCCTAAATGATGCAAACTGTTAAGGCGCTCAGCCCCTAACTGAAAGATTGGAGGTTTGAGTTCACCCACAGGGACCTTGGAAGGAAAGCCTGGTGATCTATTTCCGAAAAATCAGCCACTGAAAACCCTATGGAGCACAGTTCTACTCTTATACACATGGGGTCACCATAAGTCAGAACTGACTCCACAGCAACTGGTAAACTGGTTGTCCATCAGAGAATTAAGGACTTCTGGTTGCTACAAGTCGGAATCAACTCAACGGCAACAGGTTTGGTTGTTTTTTTTTTTTTTTTGGTCCTTGGTCCAGTGTTTGTGCTACAGTGGTATTATTTGTATCCTCTGACAAAAGAGGTGAAAAGCTTAGTATCAGAAAGAATATTTAATCCAGTAGTTGTCTAGCCTAACTGCACATTTAAATCACTCGAAAAGTTTTATTTAAAAAACAGATCAATTGAATAAGAATCATTCAGGGTGTAGCACCGGCATTAGTATTCTTTAAAAGCTTCCCAGGGGATTTTGTTGTGCTTCTAGGACTGAGAATTTCTTATTTAATCTCTCTTTCCTTTCATATTTTTGTTTTTCCTCTGAACAAAAACAATTTATATTTGCATGGTGCTTTATACATTAAAATATTTCACATAGATCATATTATTTAATCTGCATCCTAGAATTATTTATAGATGCTTGTGTTTTCACATAGAAATGCAGGTTTGATTTAGGAAGTTTTATGATTGTGGAGAACTAGAAATTTTTTCATATTCTTCTACCTTATAAGAGTTCATGAGGAAAACACACACCTAAAAATAAAATGTAGCTTTAGTCAGGGCTATTAGAAAACTCCAATTTTTATGGTGTTTTAGAAATTAAGTGAAACATCACAGATAAAATGAAATCTCTTTTAAATTAATTAATGTAACAAAGTCAACGAGCAGGAAAAAAAAATGACCAGAGACAGTGATAGAAAGAGAAAGACACAGAGTGAGAGTGAGAGAGAAACAGAATACACCAAAGAATATGGAAAAGTGGTATCTGCAAATATATGTAAATTTGAATTTCCTATTGTTCTCCACTTAAAACATTTAAACTTTGAAGTCAAAACGCTTAAGGAAACTTACTTCGCCAAGACGAGGCTGAGTGAAACTCTGCCACTCCGAGTAAGTATATCTGCAGTTGTCCGCGTCCACATGTCCTCCCCTGCAGGAATCCAGCGTGTGGTGTCCTCCTCCCTTACACGATTCCAGGGTGTGCTGATGCCCTGCCCCCTGGCAGGATTCCAAGGTCTGCTGTCCTCCTTTCACCATCTCAATGGTTTCCTGCCTGCCAGTTTTGACTCCTGATCTCATGGTACCACAAAAGTCTTGGCTAGAGTTGTTGACACTGTGGGTTATACATCCATTGGCAGAACACTGAAATAAAATAAGCCCACATGTATTTGGAGAAAATAGACTCCAAGTAAATTCACAAGAAGGCGAGAGAGAGAGAGTACTTATTCTTTTTATTCATTTATTCTATTCAACAGACATTTATTAGTTTCCGATTATATGCCCAGTCTAGGGATGCAAAAATATACTAACACATGGCCCCTCAGTGGCTTCAAGAAGCTCATATTCCAATGTGGCAGAAAAAGAGACAATCATAAAAAAAGTGTGATTACTCTGATATATAGGTAAGCCTAGATATGTTAGTAGACTCCCTGGTGGCGTAGTGGTTAAAGCGCTCAGCTGCTAACTGAAAGGCCGGCAGTTCAAACCCAGCAGCCATTCTGTGGGAAAAAGATGCAGCAGTCTGCTTCTGTAACTATTTACAGCCTTAGAAACCCTATGGGGCAGTTCTATCCTGTCCTATAGGGTTCCTATGAGTTGGAATCGACTAGACGGCAGTGGGTTTGTTTGACTTTATATATATGTTACAGGAGCACAGAGGAAGAACATTAAAATTCAAACCTGGAGAGAGAGACTAAGTAGAGTAGACAGGGAAATCTCTGAGCTAAGGGATTAAAGGCTAGGAGTGGGAGAAGAAATGGACTGCCTGCCTGAGGATCTGGAGACCAAGGCTGGGTGAGAATTGCTAGTGCATAGAGTTCAAAGAGAGTGAGAGAGACAGATGAGCCTGGAGAGCTTACAAGAGGCCAGGGGATGCAAAGAGGTCATGCTAAAAAAATTTAGACTTTATCATGGAGATTATGTGGACTCCATAAAGGATTTTAATAATGGGGGGAACACATTTTAAAAACAGCATTCTGGGCAAAAATGTAGAAGTAAGGGGGAGACAAGTTTAGAGTCATGGAGATCAGAGGGAGTCACTGAATTACTCTAGGTGAAAAACAACAAAGTCCTTAGCTAAGGTGGAAACAGTGATGATTGAAAGGAATGGATGGATTCCATAGAGTTTATTAGTGACTGGACGGATGAAGCAGCAATGGAAAGAGTCAGGAATTATTCCTATGTGTTCTGCTTGGGCAACTAGGCAGATGATACAGTTCATTAAATTAGGGAAGAAGGACATGTTTGTGGATGAGGAGGACAAGCAATTCAGTTTTGGACGTAGTAAACTCAGTCAACATATGGGATGTCCAACATGTAGAGTAGATAGATGTATGAATATGTGAATCTGGAGCTCACCTGAGGGACCTGAGCTGGAGATATAGCTCTGGAGTCGCTACAGCATAGGTAGTAGTTGAAGGTATGGTAATAGGTGAGATCACCCAGTGAAACTTGTTGACTAAGAAAAAAAAGGGCTCAAGATAATTATAACGACAAGAAGTATCACATAGATAAAGCAAACAGAACTCTGACAAGATTAGAACAGCCGTTGAGATAATACAGAGGACAAGAGGCAAGGCTCTGAAGTCATGCAAAAAGAACCAAAAAAAAACATTGCTGGCTAGTCAGTTCCAACTCATAGCAAAGAGGGGGTTATGATAAGGAAGCCAGCAATGATGTAAAAAACAAGAAAAAGTAGTATAGCATAAGAATTCGGCTCAAATAAAACAAGCACCCACTGGATTCAGGTAAAAAAGTGGCCACTGGTGGTCTCTGTCAAAACACTTTCCGAGGAGTACTAAGTGAATGGGAAGTAAAGTCGTAGAAAAATCAAGTATAAATTTCTTTTTCAAGAAGACCAAAGAAAAAGAAATACGGAGAGAACAAGAGGAAGGCTAAAAGTCAAGGGAATTTTTTTAATGAAAAAGATTTGATTAAATATTACCTTAATACTAGGACTTCACACCCACCCTCTGGCTCACAGGTCAAAAGTTTAGTTATAGCGGTAACCTCATCATGTCAGTTCTAATTACAAATCATTACTTTCATGACAAGAACCTCCCTTATAATCAAGCTTCCATTGTGCCATCTTTTAATCACTTCAGTATTTTTCTATCTACTATGCAAAGTCTCTAAGTAAACTGGAAGATGTTTTGAGTTCAGATGACTTCTTGATCCTGACATATATCTACAAAAGTCATGCATACGATCTCACTGCCTTAAAAAAGATACAGAAAAGAGAACTGAAAAGTAGCCATTTGGTGGCAGTGCTACCCTACATTGTTTTGTTTAGTTTGCTGCTACAGGAGAATTCTACTTAAAAAAAAATTTCCTGACTATCAAATCTTCTTGATGCTATAATTTAGTCATAATAATTATATGCTCATAGATATGTATTTTTAAGCTAATGAAAGGACAGGTGAAACTAAACTGAAATTGAGGCTCAGCCCCCAGTGCTCTGTTTCACACCCAGAGAACATTCTCTGTTCCTTCCTGCCCGCATCCATCTGCACTTTCCAAAGTTGACCCTTATTCATGTCAATAACTACTCCTTATCCATGTCAATCATTTCCAGATTTACTTTTCCAGCCCTGATTTTTCACCCAACCTCTAGTCCCATCTAAACGCACTGTAACTTAAACCCAGGTCCAAAACTAAAGCCATCGCTATTACTCATTATACTAAAATGAGTTTCTATCTTTGCTATGGAATTTTGTTATATTTTTTAAACAAGTATATCTAAAATCATGTTCTGGTATAAATTAATAATTTCATGCCCTTTTAAGAAGTATTTTTAACAGAGAAAAGGTAAATATGTGTGAGTGTGGTATGGTGAAGGGGCCAATCAATGCCATCAGCGCTCCCATCAAATGGCAAAGAACTAATGTTAAGTACAGTTCAATCATTCCATCTTCAGAT